ATCCAATAAGGTTCGATTATGCCTTTCTGCCACACCATTCAACTGCGGTGTCCTAGGAGGCGTCAATTGCGAAACTATTCCACACTCCTTGAGATAATCGTGGAATTCAAGACTTAGGTACTCTCCTCCTCGATCGGATCGAAGCATCTTGATTTTCCTGCCCAATTGATTCTCCACTTCATTCTTGAACTCTTTGAACTTTTCAAAGGTGTCTGACTTTTGCTTGATTAAGTAGATATACCCATATCTACTATAGTCATCGGTAAAAGTCACATAGAAGCGGTTCCCATCCTTCATGGTTGATCTAAAGGGTTCACATACATCGGTATGTATTAGGTCCAATAGCCCCTCACCCCTTTCACAAGTACTCGTGAAGGGTGACTTAGTCATCTTTCCAAGTAAACAAGACTCGCATGTGTCATCTTCCCTAAGGTCGAATGACTCCAACACTCCATCCTTTTGGAGTTGAGCTATGCGTTTCTTGTTGACATGTCCAAGACGACAGTGCCACAAGGATGCTTTATCCAAACTAGTGGAAGAATCAATATTCAAAACATCATTTCTTTAAGTTATCAACAATCATAACAGTTTCATATATTCCATTACATGGTATAGCTTCAAAGTAAAAGACACCATTTAGATAAGCCAAAATAGAACCATTCTCATTATTAAAATAAAATCTAAATCCTTGTCTATATAAACCATGAAATGAAATGATGTTTCTAGCCATTTCTGGCGAATAGCAACAATTGTTCAAATCTAAAACCAAACTATTCCTAAGCACTAAAGAATACACTCCAATCTTGGTCATAGGCGACGATCTTCTGTTCCCCATGATTAGATTGATCCTTCCTTGCTCTACATCCCTACTTCTTCTTAGTCCCTGCACATTAAAACAAATGTGATAACCACAACCAGTATCAAGAACCCAAGAAATAGCATGATTAGAAGCGTTAGATTTGATTGTGTATATACCTGCGAAAGATGGCTTGATCTTTCCTTCTTTGATCGCTTGCAGGTAATCCGGGCAGCTTCTCTTCCAATGTCCTATCTTGTGGCAGTGGTGGCACTCTGCCTCCTTTGGGTTGGAGCAGGGCTTAGCGGGATCAACTTTGGTCCCACTAGAAGAGGCACCATCTCGGGCTTTCACCTTGCGATAGTTATTTTGATGAAGCTTTCCTCTTCTTTCCCTTTCCTTGACCAATAGCCAAGACAGGAGCAGCGGACGGATTGGGAGTAGGTGCAACAGACTTGTCCTTGAAGTTGCTCTCAGTGACCCTCAAGAGACCTTGGAGTTTGCTTAGGGTGACCTCTTCTTTGTTCATGTGGTAGGTCATCCTATATTGGTTGTACATCGGAGGCAAAGAGTGAAGCACCATATCGATCGCCAAGTCTTCACCGAAGTCAACATTTATCTTGCGAAGGCGGTCGACATACTTTTGCATCTTTTGCAGGTGCACGGTAAGAGATTCTCCATGACCCATCTTAGCGGAGATCATGTTAGTGAAAATCTCGTAACGCTCTTGTCTCGCGTTTTGGTGGTATCTCTCCAACAAGTCTTGATGCATCTCGTATGGATACATGTCCTCGTAGGACTTTTGGAATTCGGAGTTCATGGTTGCGATCATGATGCAATGTACCTTCGTTGCATCTCGCTCATGAGTTTCAAAGGCGGTGATTTCTTCGGGAGTAGCAACTTCGGGGTTGATTTTCTCGAGCTTCTCATCAAGGACATACTCTTTATCCTCATAGCGAGCAATGGTGCGAATGTATCTTATCCATTCGCTAAAGTTCGTTCCATCGAAGGTGACCTTTTGACAAAGGCTCATCAACGTGAAAGAACTAGCAGCAGCGTTGTTTGCGTTCGACATCTATAGAAAGGACAAAGATAGATTAGAATAAGAATCCCTAATTATCACCCAATAAGAAAATTAGGGCTAGGATCCAACAATAACATTTACATACTAGAAAAGGGATGCCGTAATCTAACATGCAAATAAATTGAAGGTAAGTGAATGACGATTCACTAATTCTCCATCACAAAACTTAAACTATTAGTCCTAAGTGTTTTTTGAGAATTCCTAGGTTCGGATGAGATTCATTGAAACTATTCAATGGCATGTTTAAATCTCGATATGCCCCTCTCGTTTGTGACTGGGATGCCGAGGATCACAAAGCGGGTGTGAATTACCATGCAAATTCACATGGTGCCTTCATTGTAACGATCACCTATTCGATGTGCCGGTAAACCACACACGCTCCATCGAACTATGATAAACAATGAATCACCCTTTGCCACCTTCGCTTAGAACCAATTAGTGTGCCGGTAAACCACACACGCTCCACTAACTTCTTAGCAAGGTGCAAAGTGTAATTTCATGGGATTGCATCAATTCACTTTTCCTAAAGTAACTAGATTGGGAAATTTTTAAAACGTGTAGTTACTTTGTATTTCTTATTATACTTTTAATGAGAGGATGAGGTTGCCCTATCCTACCCGTTCGGCTAACGACCCTCCACCAATCAAGCAAGCGGTGGGTGTGAGTGTACACCCATTAAGCGCCATTTTATAGGCCGCAACCTTATACCCACCTTATAGATCGGCTTCGTGAATGAGGCCTACTAACGGTAAGACTAGCATTTAGTTATACATATATATATTATTCTAGTAATATCATATTAGTATAGGGTTGTATTTTAAAACTTTTTAAAATCTAGGGTTTGAAATTTAAGTTGTCTAAATTAAAACTTTTAATCACAAATATAAATTTCAAAACTTTAGGGTAGGTTTTAAACATTTAAAACATGAAGGATCAAATAACAAATAATTCCAATTAACAATTAATGTCCTAATTATCTTTATTTGATTTATCCAAGATTTCTTTTAAGATAATTATCAAAATAATTAATCATTTATCACATAAGGAAATTAAATATTTTATTAGATGATAAATATCTTTAATTAGATCAAGATAATAGTCATATATATCAAAAAATCGAAATTAGGGTTGATCTAATATGATTAAGGTAAGTTTCCATAAGATAAACATGAAAAAATCCCGGTTTTGCCTAATCCAGACGCTCGGACTCGCCGAGTACAGGCCTACTCGCCGAGTCCACTTTGGAACTCGCCGAGTACATGACTCATAAACCCAAAATCGAATTTTGCAGGTTTGTTTCAGTTAATCAAGCAACAATTTAAAGAAAACCAAGCTAGGCTCTGATACCACTGATGAGTTTTAGCCATAAGAACTTTCCTATGTGCGCATGCAAAACCCTAATGCTCGGATCTAGGCTTTCTAATTAAACATGCTTTGAATCCAAGACTTCTAATGGATAATTAGGTTAAATAACAACATTGAAACAGATCTAGAATCATACCTTTGAGTTCCTTGTTGATCTTGTCGTCTTGGAGCTTCTAGAGTCACAAATGTCACTCCTCTAATGGCTTACAAACACCAATAGCAAGCAAGATGATTTAGGAGAGAAGAGAGGGGAGGAATTCGGCCAGAGTATCTCTACTTTAGATGGTGTATCGAATTCCCTCACCCCTAGGGTCTATTTATACTTGTAGACTCCTTAAGGGTTACAACCTAAACCCTAATTGGATAATCTCCTCTTAAGGCTATCCAAATCCATTCCATAGATAAGCCTTTGGACGATTTTAGCTATCCTATATCTCATAGAATTCGTCCAAAGCATATCCCAATGGATTTATAGTCTAAAGTTTAACTATCAAACAATTGACAGTTTATACCCATTTATTTAATTAATCTCTTTAAGTCACCAAATTAATTCCAATTAATTTATGACTTATATATTAATCAAATAACCATATATTATTCCTTATAATATTTACTCTCTCTTAACAAATCATCCATCAAGTTGCTATGGTGAAGGCAACCCAAAAGAACCATGCACAACCGGATCAAATACTTACATAATATAGTTGCAGCCTTAGACACTATTCCAACAACAATAATAAATATACCTGATTTTCGGGATGTTACAATTTAGTCCCAACTTATGAATGTCACATGATAGCTTCAAGTACGTACTAGTATTGTAGGGGTACCACATCAGTGTGTTGTGTGTGGGATTTTGTATGTCGTTTTTAGAAATGTTGAGTTATGACCATACAAAGTTCCATCGTTAATTGCTCTATTCCATAATTTCGACGTTACACACAAATATTATGAAGAATGTGTAACATATAAACATCTTAGGTTTTTGAACTGATTTTTATTTGAATACATGTTTTGTGTTGAATGTTTAGTTTTAAAATGATGTTCTATGAAATCTAAAACAAATTAATTAAAACGTAAAGATTACTACAAATACATACAAGGGCATTTCTGTTCGAAATCATACAAAGTGGTCATGTTGAGAATCTCTTTAAAATTCGGTTGAAAGTAAATATATAGGTATTTCATGTGGTTATTTTGGTGATTACATAGAGAAAATAAAATTACGAACATAATTAGTTATACAGGTTAAATGGAAGCCAAATATTAGTTTATTTGAACATTATAACATACCTAAAACATTAATAGAAACTATGGATAAATAAAATTATCGATAAATTTAAGTTTTTAATAATAAAAAATAGAATTAATCAAATTTATTTGTTTTAGAAATGATTTAATATATTGATATTATATAATAAGTTGTAACTAGTAATATTATCTTAGTATAATGATAAATCTTGAGTGTATAAAGAAAAGTTAATTAGAAACTACTAATATCATCCCTTTTGCTTGAAATTACTATCAAATGTGTCTAAAATTTTGTCAAATGTTAAATTCTTTTGTTATATGTTATGGAAAAATTGTAAAAAATAAGGTTTGGAAAAAAATTGAAAAACAAAATTATTTGGTCCAAAATTGTAAAACAAAGGAAATTGCATGATGTATAATATATGTTGTAAAAAATATAACATGTGCAACAAACAAGACATAATTGTAATTTACCATAAAAGGTGGGTTACATTTAGTTATAGCATGAAAGTGCATTCCTTAAGGTGCACTTTTAGTTTTATGTATTTATATATAAACATGTTAAAAAAAATAGAACTTTTTTAACGTATTTTTACAACTGCACATGCATAAAATGAATATGTAAAAAAGTAGAAGTTGATTTTTGAAAAAATATATTTGTAAATACAGGGAAAATCTTAAAAAACATGTATCAAAGAGAAGATCTAAATCTTTGTATAAAAATAACATAAAAAAACCTACTTTTATAAAAACAATTTGATAAAAAAAATATTAAAAAATTGTAAAAAATATTTTTTGTAAAATACCAAAAAAGAATTAAAAATATTTATAATAATAAAGGAATTTTAGAAACAATACATAAATCCCAAATCAACTTTAAGTAAAATAACTAATATATAAAAATAATTTAATAGTTGTAACAAAATAACTAAAAAAAGCTAAGTTTTAAGAATATATATAAAAAGAAAGTTGTTAAAAACATTTGGAAATTTTTCTAAAAGAAGATTGGACCAAATTAGATAAAAAATAAAATTGGGTTAAAATGTAAAATGAGAGAGGAAGGTACCAATTTTGTAATAAAAGATAAATTTACAGTTTAAATGGTAAAAGTTATGTGGCTTAAGATAAATGGAAATGTTTTGTTTGTTAGGATCGTAATTTAGAAAGACGTTATTTTTTGGAAAGGTTTTATGAAAAAGAACCGTTGGAATTCGGAAGTCGAAAGGGTTATTGGCGCTTAATATATACCTTCTTCACTCATCCGCCTGTTCTTCAAACACCACCGGAGACATGTTTCTTTGAAGAAGAAGAAGAGGGTTTTATTTGGTGGCACCACCTTCTCCCCTTTTCTTCTAACACCACGTCTTCCTCTTTCTTTCATTTTCCTGCGTTCAAGAATCCTCTGCGTTTCCCTCTTCGTCTTTTAGGTAACGTTCATGATTCCTTTATTTGTATTATTGATTTTATTTTTGTTTTTGTTAGTTATTTTCAATAGGCCAAGATTCTTCAGGTCTCTTTTCTTCGTTACTGGATTCACCGGTCGAGAAAAAGAGCACAGATCTTTTTTTGGCTCTGGGTTTCTTTCTCTTTCTCCTCCATCTATTTTTTTCGTTGTTGGTTTTTTGAATTTTTGTCGTCAAATTGAATTCAAAGCATGAAAGCATCCATCAAACGAAGATGATTGGTCAAGGAAGCGGCGATGTCGGTAAATTAAATAGTTTTGAAATTCAAAAAAGTATAGTTTAATTGTAGATTGTTTTTCTGTGCAGTTTAGGTGTTTGATGAAATGTCTGAATTAAGTTAAAGAGTTGTTTTACTTTGTTTTGAGGGTAAAAATGTTACTGGATTAAATTATGTAGAGATAAGTAAATAATCACAAGCCAAATTAAAATACTAAATAACTTATTGGGTTATTAGAGATTCACTTAAGGAAAGATAATGTATTTGTTTGTATTTTTTAACTCAGAAGTGTGCTGTGGTTCTAACTTAAAGTTGTGCATAAAGCTGTAAGTTTCTGTTTAATTAAGTTATGTTTGCTTTCCAATTATTTTAACATACTCTTGGATGCATTTGCCAATTTGAAACAGTTTTTTGATTGTCTTTGCTACAATAATATTTGGACTTATGTTTGAAACATTCACTCATCCTTTTTTTTTTCTTTTCGAGTCTAGGATAGTTGAATTTTTTTTTTACTACAAGTGGAACTTATTCCTTTTTTTACGTAGTTAGGGGACTTATTTCAACCAGATCATACAGGAGTATTATGGTGGCTCAGCTGGATTTTATCAAAGAGTAAGAAACAAAAATGTTATGTTTTTTTTCTGAATTAAGTTCATGATAATGATTTTTTTAATTGTACTTAATCACATCATGGCAAAACTGCTGTTTCTTTATGACTTGATTACTGTATTTTCATTCGTGTAGGATAACTAGAAATTGTTGGATGACATGGAATAATTGAGACCTACTATATATTCTGTAGTGTTTCAGGATTATGTAACAGAGTACGCCTAGTAATTCGATACAAAAGATTTTTATTATTTGGTTGATTCTTTTATTTTTTTGTTATTTTATAAATGTGCTTTTATTTAGTGAATTAGGACATCAGGGAAGGGAAATGCCACATGGTGTGTGGTCTTTTGTGGGTTGAAATAATAAAAACAAGTGGTCAATAGAAAGAGGATGTCAGTTTTTACCTTTGTATAACTGATGAGGTAATAATCAATTCTCTTTTGTGATTAAAAATATTATATATGAGAATATTGTTAAAAAAGAAAATCATTTTTTTGCAGGAACCTCTTTATTCTGCTGTGATATGCTTGAACAAGCATCTTATTGTTACATTTTCTTTCAACCAAACCAGTCATCTTAAAAAAGTTTGGATTTCATCTTGCTTTTTCTGGTGGCAATTTTTGTTACTTGATCATATATTAATATTTTAATAGATAATTTTGTTTTGCTATTAGTATTTAATAGATAATTTTCATTATTGACTATCAATGGTTTTGTAACAATATATAAATACAGTATATAAATAAATGATTTATCTGTCTTTTTTATAAGTATTTTTTAAATTTTGGTCCGCAAGTGTAGCTGATTTTTTTTAATTTTTTTTTTTGAGGTTTATAACTTTTTTGATCTTTGTTTCTAGTAAAATGATTTATCCATCTTTCTGTTTTGAAAAGGAACAACACGGAGTCATATTTGGGATCATGTTCATTTTCATCTAGGACAGTAAGTTAGTTCAAAATGAAGTAGTTATTAAAGTTTGATATGATACACGCTAAATTGGATGAAATTACGTTGTTACCCTCTTCAGACACAGTTGATTCTGTAACACCATATGAATGGTTTATCAATCTTTTTAGAGTAATATTACATTTTTGGTACTTACAATAGGCAAGTTTTTCAATAAAAAAAGTTGACATAAACTGTCTTTCTTTAGGCTTCAAATGTATCAAACTGCAGTTAATGCCAATCAGGTCCGGATGATGTGTATCACATTTCTGTACAAGCATTGCATATTGTAAGTTTTACCCATTTTACACGGTTGTTATTTCAAATGGTTAAATTTTGTATTAGTTGCTAATCTTTTTGTGACAGATAACTATTATGCATCCACCCTTGCAATCAGAGACAAAAGGCACAAAAAGATTCCAATGGGACATCAAATCTTGAAACCTGACTGCAAATGTTGCTGGTGGAAGTCTTGAAATTAAAGTTGTATCCATCAAATGCCACTTGTTTTCACACATATATGAAAGGTCGTTCAGATGATATTGGTGGCTTAGTTGGATTTTATCTAGTAGTAAGAAACTCAAATTTCATCATCTGTCTGAATTAAGTTCATGATAATGATTTCCTTATTGTACCTAACTAATCACATCATGCATACAAAACTGCTGTTTGAAATTGTTGGATGAGATGATGGTGGAATTGAGTGAGACCTATTATGTTCTGAAGTGTTCCATGATTATGTAACAGAGTATATGATACGATGGGTATGATAAGTTTATGTATTTTTCAATTTGAATGGCTTATTGATGCTCAATTAGGTTTGTGGTTGTTGCAGTCATATGGTGGTCATAGAGAAAGATTGTTTAATGTTGCGTTTAATGCAAAGATGCAAACATTACTTAAAAGTAACTATTTTTAAAAAAAAATTCAGCACAAGGGAGCGGGTCTTTTAGCTTTCCGTACTTTAAAGAATATATTTTGTCTGATATTATATCTTTCAAGCAAGAATGCATCTCCTATGCTATGTGGGACAAATTGGTAAAGACAAACTTGCTTTAATGGTTTCAGATGCATCACCCTTGTCTCCTGATGTCATGGAACTTACTTCCATTTATTTGTGTCTTATATCACCCTCGTTTCATTTCTTTTTATTACAGCATTGTTGTAATAGCAACTTTTTCATTTATCTTTTTTTCATGCAACAAAAGGACAAGTGGCTTTGGTATGGTCATTTCTGTTATGCTTTGCCCTGTTTCAAAGGTTTTGTTCAGATTCTTCCATGTTTTGTAAATTATGGATTTTGATTTTTGGTCATATTGAAGATGTTTTGGCTTCCTATATATGAAAGTTTGATCATGGCATTCATGTACTTTTTTTTTTAACATCTAACAGTTGCAAATTTTACTAGACAAGAAACTATATATACATGACTTTGCCCCTACAGGTTATAAAAATTGTGAATGTTGTATGCATCAGATGTTTGACAACCAAATGCCAAGGTATACATTTATCTGTTTAGATGCTCACAACATTCATCACATGTTACAATAATCAAGTAACTTGTTTACTAGCCAATTTAGCCATTTAATGTTAGTAGGTTTTTCTGAGAAATGTTTTTTTTTTTTTTTTTTTTTCAATTAAGTAGGTGACAAAGGAGCTTTTCACCTACTTTTGCACTTATACTGCATACAAGTTACACATAGTTGTAAGATTTAAAATTTTATCATTTTAACAGTATTTATTTACTTTCCCATGCAGCTTATCAACCTGATTTTGTATCAACATGGTTCCAGTTTTTTAATTCAGAACTTGAACTTGCAGACAGCATATGTGTATGTGTATCCCATTTAAGTTAGTTACATGTAAGTCTTTGATTATAATGAATGTGCAGGCCTTTTTGTTGTTTCTTCAGCTGACATGGATCCTAGGTATCAACATGTTTCTGGATCTTTTTTTTTCTTCTTCTGGTCTACAATAACATGCGATACAGAGCAACTTAAGATAAAGGTATGCTCTGTAAATGAGGTTTTATATAAATCCATCACGCTCTCCAAACACCCCTGTAACTCAAACAAATTATATCAATCCTTGGAGAAACAAAATGACAAGACAAGAAGTTATATTGTTTAAGAATGTATTTCAGATTCAATCAGCCTTCTTATGAATAACCAATTTTATCAGATCACAATGTTCCAGTCAAATCTCTTTTTGTGGGTATGTGATCATGGAAGACTCTGGTACCTATTTTTTTTCTTGTTTCTCTTTCATTGATTTGCATTTTACTAATAAATCAAACATATTGCTAAATTACTAATATGTGTTTATTTGATAGGATAACTGGAGCAGTCAAGAAGAGCATATAGAAAAAAAAAAAAAACTAAATGACCATAAATGATGCCAAGGTAAGAAACCAAATTGTACATTTAATTTTTTTTTTTTTTTTTTTTTAATTAACACATTGCATTTTGAAAAATCTAACCTACTAAGACTTGTATTTTGAAAATCTGAACTTGTTTCATTTTGGTTAACATTTACTGCATTTTATATTCAAAATATTTTGAACATTGTACTTTCAATTTTTTTTTTTTTTTTTTTCTAATTAAGACAGTGCACTTTGGAAATTTAACATACTTAGATATTATACTTTGAAGATCTAAACAATTATCACAAACCTCAAGGATAATGTGACAATTCATCCAACTCAATATGCCACAGAGAGGATCAAACTAGGCTTTTACTATTTATGGAAATGACCTATTCCTCTGAAGTATAATTTTAGTTTTTTGTAATGTATGTATGTATGTTCTATTAGATTGTTTATTATTATAGTAAGATAATACTTTCTGTGGATACCTTATAAAAGCTAAAGCTCAAATTCATGGCTGTCTGAGAAAGGTTAGTTTTGTCCTTTAAGTTACAGTCTTTTGTGCTATAATTTGATCTTGTTTTCATTGTTATTAACATCTATGAGGTTTTCATATGCATTTGTTTATGCCATAAGGCAAAATATATTTCTCTTTTGACCCTTGGTTGGTGATTGTATTGCAAAGTTAGGTCTTAATGAACTAGCTAATTATCAAAGTTTTGATATTATACACTGAATGGGTTGAAATTACGTTATTACCCTCTTTGGACGCAGGTGGTATACTTTTGTTGGAGGTTTGATGTGGGAAGTAAACATGTGTTGGAAAGTGTGGTTTGTAGTCATCAATTAAAGCCAATGCAAAAACTTTGTTGCATTTGTAGGATGGAATTAAGCACAACAATTATTTTAACAAATGTGTAACTACTCTTTTTTAATTGTTTTACAGTCTCTTGAAGACAATCCATGTTATCTGGTTTCATCAGCAGAAGAGGCTTGCTTATAATGCACAGGTAGTCTGATTGCATCTGTTTTTGTTGTTCATTTTGTAAACTGTTTTTGTTCCATTTTCCAGTTAGTGTTTCAGTAGCATGCTTTTTAAGAAAATAAACATTTTAGGGATCATGGTGTTAGAAACATTGTAATATTCAAAAATCTACTATGTCTTGTTATCACATTAACAGACATTAACATCCCCAATAACATGAGTTTCTTTGATTTGAGTTAATCTTCATGCTTTTTAATTATTTTAGGGATTTTCTTAAAGTGCAAGTTACATTTAGTGCTAAATGCAATATCCTAATAAGAAAAAAGCTAACTGTTACTATTTATTTTAGCCAAACCAATTATGTTAAGAAATTATTGATTTCATCTCATTCTTTCTGGTGGTGATTATTGTTACTGGATCAAATGTTAATACTTTAATACATAAGTTTATTCTACTATTAGTACTTAATGGATATTTTTCATTACTGAATATCAATGATTTTGTAAAAGTATTTAAGTAACGATATATGAATGATTTATCTATCTTTTTTTAGTAATATTTAAAATTTGGCCCATGAGTGTAGCTGAATTTTTAAAATTTGATCCTTTATGAGGTTTGTAATTTTTTGATCTTTGTTTTTAGTAAAATGACATAAGTTTGAGACCAAAATTGCAGAAATCAGATAAGGAATTTCAGGTGTGTCAACCTTGTATTTTGGTACAATTTACTCATTTACCCTTTTGGCTAGTTTTAAGTTAATCTGTTAATGACTTGTAATTCTAGGTTTGGGCATTATTCATGGGATCTTATTCATATGATTCAACATACACAGAGAGGAGAGGCAGTATGTTGTCTTACTTAACATCAGAGTACATGACTATCAAAAACCAGTGACATCTAAATGTATTTCCAGAAATGCCCCTATGATCCTAAAAGTCATGCTAGTGTATTATCTCCAGGAAATGATGGGATTAACATACTTTATGACATTGCTATAACTGGGTAGATTTTTTCAAGCACAATTCTATAACTGGGGTCATAAGTAAGGTTAGCTTGAATCTTAATCAAATTATCATTTCTGCTTTCATTACTGATTTGTTTGCTATATGAATCGGTGCTTTTTAGGGAAGTGACAATCATCACCCTTTTTGTCCATCAAAATCAGATGATGTTACAATATGTTATACAATATGTTGAATCTTTTTTCTTAATATAAGTGGAACTTATTCCTTTTTTTACATAGTTAGGGGACTATACTTTTCCATGGAAACCCGATTGTAAATGCTTTTTTTTCTAGTGGAAGTCTTGAAATTAAGTATATGCTAATTGTTTCAACATTGTTTTGTTGTAATATAATATTGCCCATGCTTATTTCAGTTATATGTATCTTATCTTCCTTTAGCACACATGTATGAAAGGTCCAACCATAACATATTGGCGTACTATGGTGGCTCAGCTGGATTTTATCAAAGAGTAAGAAACAAAAATGTTATGTTTTTTCCGAATTAAGTTCATGATAATGATTTTTTTTATTCTACTTAATCACATAATGCCAAAACTGATGTTTCTGTATTACTTCATTCGTGTAGGATAACTTGAAGTTGTTGGGATGACATGGCATAACTGAGACCTTACGCCTAGTAATTCCCTACAAAAGATTCTTGTTATTTGGTTGATCCTTTTATTTTTTATTTTTTTTAAAATGTGCTTTTATTTAGCGAATTAGCACATCATGGAAGGGAAATGCCACATGGTGTGGTCTTTTGTGGGTTGAAATATTAAAAACAAGTGGTCAATATAAAGAGGATGTCAGGTTTTACCTTTGTATAACTAATGAGGTAACAATTAATTCTCTTTTGTGATTAAAAATATTATGTATGAGAAAATTGTTAAAAAAATCATTTTTCATTATTGATAATTATCATTATTGAATAACAATGTTTTTGTAACAGAAAATAAATACAATATATAAATGATTTATCTATCTTTTTTTTAGTATTTTTTAAATTTTGGTCCCTGAGTGTAGCTGTTTTTTTTTTTTTTTTTTTTTGGGTACTTACAATATGCAAGTTTTTCAATATAAAAACTTGACATAAATTGTCTTTGTTTATGCTGCAAATGTATCAAAC